ATTTTAAAATATAAATAACAGGAGTCCCACCAGAGTTCCTTAAAATTCATTTATTTAAATTACAGCATAAATGCAGATTATCAAGTTCAATTCCCTAAGCAAATAACAGTAAACTGACAACTGAGCTTATGTCAGTGGCCCAAAGTTTAAGGTTTTTTTGGGAATGTCTGAGTACACTGGAAAAATCTGAAAGTTTAGACCTAAATTAATCATACAATGGGACTATGATATTATATGTATACTTTGGTTTTCATTCATAGTTCCTGGCTTGTTCTAACCTTCTCTGCCTTTCTGTCTTGGATGGAGCTGGCCATAAAGAAAAGTCTCTGACTTATCTTATCTGATTGTAGGTCATAAGACTCCCATTTCAGAAGGGGCCCTGCCCCATCCCCGGGAGGAAGGAATGCCGCACAGAGAGGCCAAAAACAATCTGTACAAACAGGCCCTTCAATCATGCCTACGTAGGGAAGCTTTCGTAAAAACCCAAGAGCACAGGGATTAGAGAGCTTCAGGACAGCTGAACACATAGAGCTTGCTGGAGGATGGTGTGCCCAGGGAGGGCAAGGAAACTCCATGCCCCTTCCCCCATACGTTGCCCTGTGTATCTCTTCGTCTGTATCCTTTGTAATATCCTTTATAATAAGCTGACAAACATACGTACGTGTTTCCCTGAGTTCTATGAGCTGCTGTAGCAAACTAATCGAATCCTAGGAGAGAGTTGTGGGAATCCTGATTTATACCTGGTTCGTCAGATGTTCCAGAGACCTGGACTTGCAACTGGCATCTGAAGTGGGGGCAGTCTTGGGGACTGAGCCCTCACCCTGTGACATCTGATGCTATCCCCAGGTAGACAGTGTCAGAATTGAATTGGAAGGGACCCAACTGGTGTCTGCTGCAGAATTAGTGGCTTGCTTGCTGATGGGGAGAAATCCCCACATTTGGTCACAGAAGTCAGTCTTCTGTGTTGATGATTGTGCTGTGAGAGCAGAGGAAAGACGCTGTATTTTTCCCACTCACTCAGGGACAATATAATCACACTTGTGGATGAAATTTCACAAGTCTGTGGAAGGCTCCATGGCAAATGGGGCCATAAATCATTAGCTTACTTTCAGGAGCAGAACTGATATGCCCAGTCCTCTGAGTGCAGATGGGCTCTGGAAGCAAAACACCATATGAAAGCATGCCGAACAGAGAAGTGTATGTAACCTTCCCTGATCAAAATGGAACTTTTCCTGAACATTCCATTAAAGCTTCAACCCATGTTACTTCCTATTCAGCTATGACATTTCTCAGTCCAACTCTTCTAAATAATGCACTGATAACTAAGAAATACATGTACTTTTTTGTATATATGTGAATGGGTGCACAACTGTGAAGTCTTGCAATTTTAAAAATTCTACTGAAAATCTGAGATCCCTATGCACTGGTCCCAAGCCCTCCTTCTTGACATCTATGGCTTCTAAAAGCAACATTTGCTTTTTAATTCAACCTAAAGAAACATGGGAGACTCCAAAGCACCAAAGAAAATATTTTTAAAAGAAATCTTTCATGCTTTCTGATGTGACAAAATTAAAAGAAAAAAAACCAAAAAAAAAACAAAAACAAGTATATCCATAGGGTACTTAACCAAGAGCCTGGAAATCAGATTTCTGGGGCCTAATCTGACACTAGAGTGACCATGGCTAAATCATAACCCAATGAGAGCAGAGTTCCCTGGTTGCTAAGTTCTGGATGGGACAAAGGGTGTACAATTGGGGCATGGTAGATCAGAAGGTCTCCAGGACCCCTTTAGTGCCTACTTCTTATGATCCTATAAAATATGTAGACCATGCTTGACTGGGTTATATACTGCATACCATAGGGAATGCAAATTTTTGTAGGGTCAGAGGGCTCTGGAAATATTCTGTGAAGCTATACACTGTTTGGAGTTACATAAGCTTTATACACTGTTTGGAGTTACACAAGCTTGACAGTAAAATGGAGCTAGGAGTTTTCAGTGTTTTATTTTTTATTTCTATAGAAAAAAGGTAAATTAAGCGGCTTCTAGAAAATATCAAGCCAAAAAAAATTCTCCTAACACCAACATCTATCTTTTCCCCCTTTCTGAGATCACAGATCATCTAGACAAAAATTTTAAAAGAGGAAATATTATTTTGACTTACTGACAGCCACTGTGAAAGAATATATTTTAACACTTTTAAGAAAGTAAGAATTTACAGATGTGTGGTTACAAGTACCTACTAAACCAAAAACAAATGCAACTGTTTCAGCTAGCAACCTACAATGACAATACAAGAATGAAAGGAAAAGATAAAGTCTTGAATTGTTACGGTATGTTCACTTTCAAATATATTCCCTAATTTTGTTTATTGAATCCTGAAAAATCCCAGTTTAGAGAATACGAAATAAGTCACATATAAGATCAAGCCATATAAGCTCAGGTGTGGTAAAATCAGTACAGGGCTTCTTCTTTCCTCTTTGGGCACTTTAATTCAGGATAATATCTGACTTACTGGTACTAATATAGATCCTAATGAAAACAATTCTACCATGAACACTGATTATGAGAAATGTCTAAAAGTACAACCAAGAAAGAAGTGTTACTTAATGATTTTTAAAAAAAAAAAAACATTCAGGGAAAGTTACAAGAAAATGCTCTATTCCTAAAAAACCGCAACATCCACAAAGACAAAACTCTTACTTTTTTCACTTATGCATAAACTACTCTATCATGACTTATCCTTCTTAATAGGTAGCTAAACTGCCATTAGCATTTATCCAACATGCTTCTTTATTAAAACCGATCCTATGAAAAGTCTAGCATCACCAACAAGAGATTTCACACTTGTTACCTAAGGGCAGCTCAAAGCCTGTGTGTGTATTCACACGGGTGGCTATACATATATAAATATGGATGTATGCTTCTCCTTGCCTCTTCACACAGAAGTTTCTCCCCCAAAAGAGTCAATAATTTATGCCCAAGTCTATAATAGACGCTGTGGGGATACAAAGGTGTGTGCATGAGAGAGAGTCCCAGCTCTCAACATAGTTATAATGTACTTGGAGAGATAAGACATAATCACATGAAGAGGTCCCAGTCCCAGAAAAATTGACAGTTATCTTATTTTTATGAGTAATATGGAGATGCTATCATCTGCCTATTATTTGCATAAATCACAAAAGCCTCAACTGAAATAGGTATGAAAAAATAAATCCATGCCATTTATTTCAATTATATTAAAATACAATAAATATACAATAAATAACAGAATTTATTTTGAGTATGTAAAAAGTAGCATATAAGAAGGGCAGTAGTAGGGGAGGTGGGGTGAGATTTTTAATGGCCAAAATATCGCATACACTCAGGAAAGGAAATTAGGGAAAAGGAAACAGTTTTGCTAACATTTACCTCAGCAATGACCAAGAAGTGTGATTCTTAGGCTTTGCTCAAAACTCAGAGTTGTATGAAGAATCAACTGCTGGGCTAGTTTTTAGAGATCCAGGTTTTAGCTCCAACTCCTTCACAACTGTATCCTCTCTTGCCCTGATGATGGCTAATACTCCTTTAATGAACACTTCTGGTAACGCTTTCTTTGATAAATATATCAAGGTCCCCTATCCTACTCACCACTTCCCTACCATACCCCACCCCTGATAAATTACAGTGTACAACATTAAATTATTCATGAATCTGTAACTTTAATTTTTTTGTGTTTATACCTCTTTATGGCAACTGTTTGAAAAAAGCAAAATTCTAATTCATATTGCTAAAATTCAGCACTAAACAATCATCACTCTTACATTATCTAGTTCTAATAATCTAGCCAGCATAATATAGTGCATTATTCAATATTCTTACAAGAAGAGTTTTGGTGTAGCTACGATTCACAATGGTGAAGATAGGATCAAATAATTATGTATTCACTGCTTTTAGCTGGCTTAAAGTTGACTTAGCTTCACAGCAACTAAAAGTACAATAATATTTAATTTATTTTTTAATGATAATCCAGTAACAGCACGTAAGTATGACTTTGGTATTTAAAGGCTACATAAATAACCTTTCATTTGGTAAGTCTTATTAAACCCAAGGTGTTTGGGAAGAAAGTTAAGAGCAGAAAAAGATAAATATGGGTTGTAATACTGAGTAATATCAAACTATTTCTATTATCATTTTTATGTTAAAAATATTCTTATTTGGACATCTGAATGTTAAGAAAATTATCACCTAGTAACAGCAATGAATTCAAATATTATCCAATAAAATGCTAAACAATGCAAGCTCTCTTCAATTCTTAAATACTTTTTTAAGTCATTTCAGTAAAGAGATAAAATACTCTTTACTGAAATGGAAGAGAGAGAACTTTCATGAAGCCATACAGTAAGGTAAATAATAGGTACAAAAATCAGCAGAGAATTGAGAAGTATGCTGGAAAAGTTTTGCAAATACTATTCTTGGTTGTATCTAGCTCCATTATACAGTTTAAATTTTGGCCAAATTTTAAAAATATTTGTTAAACAGTTCCTTCATGTGACATATGCTTCCAGGATACTTCTGACATTGATATGAGAAATTATAAAACATTTAGAAATGAAAATGTTACTCTCAAACCAAAAACAGCACTGTAATCCAAGCTTTTTCTGAATTCATAAGATGGAAAAACATTTAGAAAATAGTACCTTTCTGTTTTAAAACATCCAAATAATGTACTTTAAAAAAAACAAAAATACGTAATTGTTCAAGGCAAGAAGGAGACAAGTCTAAATAAAATAAGGTCCCAAAGTTTACTCTAGGAGTCATTACTCTTCCTTTGCAGTCTCTATTCTATTTACTCCATAATAAGTAAACTGTTTTATCCCTTCATCTGGGAAGGTTAATTTTTACCCTACCAAGATGATAACAATGCCACTGCAGTGCTCACCCAGCAAGAAATGCATGAATATAAAGTTGTGCCAACTCTTTCTATCAAACAAAGTGTATGCAAGAATTGATTCGCAATGCATTAATTCAGGAACTCAGCAGAGAGGCTCCTACTATATCGAGCTGATCTAAACTTGAGCTCATGATAACACTGCACAAAGCTATGGTAGATAAAAGTGATAGGCAATGCTAACAGAACGATTCCACTGACAACACAAACTCCTCCAAGAATTCTTCCAGGCATTGTGATAGGATACATATCTCCATAGCCAACTGTAGTCATAGAGATAATCACCCACCAGCAGGCAGCGGGGATGCTGGCGAAGTCCTTGTTGGATGTTTCCAGGTCCAACCCATGTTCGAGAAGCTGAGAAAGTGCACTAAAGATTGCCATGGCAACACAAATGAAGACAAGTAACATAACCATCTCTCGGTAACATCGTTTGAGAGTCAAACCAAGTGTCTGAAGACCAATGAAGTGACGGGCAAGCTTAATCACCCAAAAAATCCTCATCATTCTAAGCACCCTCAAGGTGACTCCAGCCCTCTGGAGTTGAGAGTTCTCGCCTGTAAATACTGTCATTAACACGGAGATGTAATACGGCGTGATTGCCAGTAAATCAATGATGTTCAGGGGTCTCTTGACAAACTCACACTTGTTTTTGGAGACGATGAACCTCACGATGCACTCTGCAGTGAACCAACCTATGCAGATAGCTTCAATTATCCTGTCAAGAGAACAAAAGAAGGATTGATGATTTTATTTTTAAGCATTTTAATAGCTCTTAGATTTCTTCAGATAGTACTACACTGACATACTAATTCAGATACTTTTCCAGAAAACATAAAGAACAGACAGCATTACCAATGTCATCGGACCCACCAAAACACAACAGAACAAACAGTTCAGATGAAAATTGAACTTGGTAAAGTTCTTATTTATGTAACACCATTAAAATGATTATTTTTTTACTTGTCACTAATACCTTTAAAAAATCTCTCTCTTATTTGATGGTTTGAAATTAACTTATGTTCATCTAGCCACAATATGAAATTTCACTTACTCTTTGAGGACAATGGTTCTCAACCGTGATATAAGTTATGAGGCGGGTCAGAAGGATTTTGTTCCTACAGACAGTGGACATACCCAAGTTTTTTTGATGATTTATTTCTTAGTAAACTAGATTGACTACAGATCATTTTCTGAAATGTGACTGCTCATTTCTTTTCCAATAGGCTTGTGTGAGAGACACGGAAGCTGAGCTGGCTTTTTGGGCACTGCAGGAGTGCCCTCACCAGGACAGCGCCAGGTCACCACCACCACCACCCTCATCATGAGGCTCCCAGGGGAAAAAACGCCTGAGGACTCCTACAATGGAGCAAAATCACCACTAGGATTTTCCCAAAGACCACAACTACTTTGCTTTCCATAACTATTTTTACATAGCATAAGCTTTAAAATATAAGGCCACATTTGACCTAGAACATTATTTATCAACCTTTTTGCATCACTGCACACACTGAAAATAATATTTACACAACATACTGGAGTCAAGGGGTAGGATTCCTAAAGCAGAAGCCACCCTCCTGGGGGTTCTAGCCACCCTGGCCCTTGTCCTGCACTCTCCAAGGCTGAGGAAATCAAATCTCAGCACAACGGTTAGGAAGACCTGATCCAGAGAGAGAAGTAATTTGGAAGTAACTGTAAGTTAATTAAAAATTATTAATTCCAAATTAAAAGCTGTCATTAACTATATACCCTCATTCATTTTTCTCCCCATAATTTTTTCCTGCCACTCACCTAGACACAAATGTCAGAAGCACAATGGAGGGAAAAGAAATTGGAGTAGGTAGGATGGGAGTGGTAGGTGGGGCAACATTTTGAAAAGAATTACTCAAAGCGTACTCAGAACACAAGTTACACTAGATGTTACTCTGGGAAATGAGTAAATACAATTAACCATGCTTCCCTACTGTAGGGCTTTATAGGGCCATAAAGATAAACTTTATTTATTCTGTTTATTAACTTTCATTTATTTATTTATTTTTGAACATTCACATTCACTTGGTTCAAATCAAAAAGGCAAAAAAAAAAAAAAAAAAAAAAAAAAAGAAAAGAAAAGAAAAGGGAGAGTATGAAAAGAAAAGTCTCTCTCTCACCCCATTCCCCAGACAGCCAAAGCCAGCAGGCAACAAATATTTCTCTACTGTGAGATCTCCTGCTCTGCTCATGGGCCCTATCACCTGTGGAAACAGCAGCTTCCCTGTCCCCACCCTGCTATCAAGATGGCTTCCATGAATCTGGAGGCTTAGAAAACTGGGAAGGTCATAAAACGTAGACCCATAGGCAGGGTCCTGTGACCAGTTCCGACCAATGGGCAATGAGCAAAATGCCTGTAACATTTCTAGGCAGATACACAGAAGAGTTGATGCAAATTCTTTTCCCTGCCATGGCAACCTGGAAGGCATGTACTCTAATGGCTTGCTACAAGACGGTGGGTCCCTACCAGCCCAAGCCCAAGTGACTGCACAGAGTACAGCAGAGACACCTTCTCCCCTGACCTAGATAGGACATATGTGATCAGGAAATAAATCCTTACTGTGTTAAGCCACTGAGATATCTAAGTTGGTTGCTACCCTAGGTAATAAATTGACAAATATAGTAAGTAGTAAGGTGTGCACTCAAAAGGGACTGCAGGAGCACAAAGTAGTAATAATAAGTTTTCTTAGACTGGCTTGTGCATAAAACATACCAGTTCTCCAGCCAGCACACTATGTCTCTTCTCTAGGCGGACACAAGCAAGGACAGTAGACTGGATGTCAAAAGTCCCCATGCTCTTTTTGCTCTGAAGGAAGAGCCTCACCCATGAAGTGGCAGAGTTGCACTTAATCTTCTAAGGGACCTCCCAGCTCTAAAATCCTATGATTCTATTAATGTCAGAAGAGTGAAAATTTTAACGTGCCAAAAATACCAGAACATTTTCTGTCTAATTATTTCTACCAGCAGTCAAAGTTCTTCAGATTATAAAGGAGGAAAATCCAAATAATGTGGAATAATCTTTCAGTAAGGGAATTTCAAAGAGGTAAACTCGCCTATAATGAGGTCCTCGGGGTTCTTCCTGCCCACTCCCCGAGTCAGATGCAGTTTATCCAGAATATCACGCTAAAGGGATGAATCAGTGAGAAACCCTGGGCCTCAATTTCACCCGGGATTATGCCAAGGCAGTCTCCAACAACAAACACCACTAAGCCTGCCAAAATTCCCCATGCTTCCAAATGGCACTCTTACCAATCCACCACTGACAACTGCTAAAAAACTGAGTACTGTTTACTGAGCACTACAGCAAACAATTGGGTACTCCCAAAGACTACTTCTATAAAACACAAATGGGGGGAAAAAAGAACTAAAGAAGATACTGAGGGACACCATATTCCTTTGAAGCCCATTCTGATTTCTTTTGAGGTCCAAATATACACAAGTTTATGAATGCATGGCTAATAAAAATGTTTACCACTTACTGAGGCCTTTCAGTGGAGCACTATGCTAAGCACTTTAGAGACACCATCTCATTTAATCCTTCTCAAGAATTCCATTAAGTATGTATTTCCCTTATTATCTCCATTTTACAGATGACAAACTGAAACAGAAAGGTTAAGCATCTTTTCCAGAGACACACTAAGAAATCATAGTGGCACAGGTAATGAAAGCCAGATCTGTTGGGCTTTAAAGCTATAAGGAACATTTGAAAATGCTACTGATTTTTATGACAATGTCCAATGTTACTATTACATGGCATATGTCCATCTCTTGGTCTCCATGATTTATGTTAGTCAGAACAGTATTTTTCAGACTGCTGGTTCTTACCGTGTTAAAATCAACATTAAAATTAACATTTTCTGGGCCGGCCCGGGGGCGCACTGCTACAGTGCGCCACTTGGGAGTGTGGTGGCGCTCCCGCCGAGGGTTCGGATCCCACATACAGACCGGTTCCCACTCACTGGCTGAGTGAGGTGTGGGAGCAACACCGAGGGTTGCGATCCCGTTGCCGGTCCCGGTCCGGTACGGGTGCAACACTGAGGGTTGTGATCCGTTGCCGGACACGAAAAAAGACAAAAAAAGGAAAAAAAAAATTAACATTTTCTTGGAAACAATAGAAAATGACAGAGTACATCAAAGTATAGTTTCATGAAACTTTTGTTTCAGTTATATATAACTGTGTCCTAGGTTATAATGTAAAAAGGACTTTCTGCAGGTACTGGAGGACCTCAACAATTGCAGGCAATCTCCTGTCATTCCTAATTACTCTGACTGATCCCTAATGACAGAAGGCACTTCTGGGAATGACTCAGAGGATTATAAACAGGCTAAGAAGGGGAGCCAATGCTTTTAGTGTTAACCAGTGTCTGCCTCCATGCTCTCCCCTCAACTCCCTCCCACAAAAAAGACTGGGCCAGGCACAGGAGGTCATTAACTATGCGATGTGAAGTAAGATCAGGGCCCTCTGGGTGCTCTTTTTGCGTCTTTTCCCCCCAACATTTTATTCTGAAACATGGAGCAGATTCATTAATATTTTAAATATACTTGCTTACCACCTTTATCTATCCATAATCTGTTTTTAATGCATTTCAAAATAAAAGGCAGACCTCAATGCACTCTTCTCTCTAAAACTTCAGAGTGCATATCATTGACTAGAGTTCCATATTTGTTTAGTTTTTTATCTCTTGATACAAACTTTATACGCAATGAAACATACAAACCTTAAATGTCCATTCACTGAGTTTTGACAAATGCATAACCTCTATGATCCAAACTCCTATCGAGATACAGAGCCTTTATATATTCATCCCAGGGAGTTTCCTACCTGGTTCATCTTTGTATCTCCTGCCCTCACTTTCCAAACCCACCAGACACTAGCAAGTGCTCAATACATGTTTGTCCAGTACAATTTAAGTGACTTTGATAGAACAGGAAGGCCTGGGGCTGGCCAGTTACCTCAGTTGGTTAGGGCACAGCCTCATAACACCAGGGTCACAGGTTCAGATCCCCATACCAGCCAGCTGCCAAAAAAAAGAACACAAAGGCCTGGGATGGCCACTCCACAGCCACAAGAAGCCTCTCAGTCCCCCTGGACAACTGATGACTTTCAGTTATCTTACACCCCTTATCTTACACCATACATGTTATAGACTGAATCTATGTGTCCTTCCTCGCTCTCCCTAATTAATACGTTGAAGCCCTAATCCCCAGTATGCTAGTATGACTGTATTTGGAGAGGGGATTTGGAGAAATAATTAGGTTTAGATAAGGTCATAAGGGTGGGGCCCTAATCTGATAAGGCTTGTGCCCTCATGAGAAAAGGAAGAAAAACCATAGCTCTTTCTCTCCAGCATGTGAGGACACAGCAGGAAGGCAGCTACGTACAAGTCAGAAAGAGGGCCCTCACTAGAACTGACCACTGGCACTTTGATCTCAGACTTCCAACTTTCCGAACAGTGGATAAACACACTTCTACTGCTTAAGCCATGCAGTCTACGGTATTTTGTTATGACAGCCCAAGCCAACTAATATAGCACCAATGCAATTGGATTAGTGTCCTAAGAAGAGACACCAGAAAGCAAAAACAGACAGATGGAACAACATCAAATAAAAACTTGTTCATCAAAGGACACAATCAACAGAGTGAAAATGCAACCCATGGAATGGGAGAAAGTATCTGCAAGTCATATA